TCTGCGGCCCCGCCCATGGCCCCACCCCTTTCTGCCCCTTCCCCCAGTCCTTGCCCCTATCCCACCCACGGTCCCGCCCTATTCTGTCCCCCCACTGCAGCCCCTCAACCCATTTCCTACTTTCTGCCCCCCCTGTGACGAAGCGGGACTGTTCTGAATGTTTCCTCTGAATAGTGTGGGGGTGCCTCAGTTTCCCCTAGGCAGTTCTTAAGTATCTGGGTGGTGGGATAAGGGCAGGTGCGTGCAGGAGTCTGGACACAGAGAAGGGCCGACACCCTGTTTCCTGGCAACTGATGGCCTGGCCCTTCCCCCCTGCAAGGTGAGACCTAAAGGGTTGGAGAACAAAAGAATCAGATGCCCTCCTGGTCCGGGAAAGGGACAAAGCCCGGAGGAGCGGGGGGCTGGAGAGAGTTTCAGTTTGGGGCTGGCTGGGGACATGGAGTGAAGTGCAGACGTGGTTGTCCGGCTTACTGCCCCCCAAAATGGACCCAGCTGAGGGGTCCTGTTCTCTGCACCTACAAGCTCTGTGTTAGACCATGTTCCTGTTTTCTAATAAACCTCTGTTTTACTGGCTGCCTGAGAGTCAGGTCTGACTGTGGAGTTGGGGAGCAGGACCCTCTGGCTTCCCCAGGACCCTGCCTGGGTGGACTGGCTGTGTGTGATGAAGTGGGACTGTTTAACTCCTTAACAGCTTTCACTTCATCTGAGACCTTGTCAAAGCTATCCACACTGGATATTTCAACAGGAAAGTCAGTGGATCCATTCACAACAGAAAATTTCTGGCTGTTAGGAACTGAAACTTTCTTGATTAAATCACTTTCACACCCTTCAGTTGCAGTAAACTGCTTGCAAAGACTCCATGAGGATTCCTTTCCCGAGGGGCTTTTCTATGCAACAATTCACCCCTCCCAGAAATTCTGCTCTTACCCTCTTTACCTAGGGCTTGCTCTAGAGAGACACTTTCCTGAGCAACAACAGACTCTTTCTGGGTTTCCCTTACACCCAGAATTACCTCTGGCCCATCCAGCGGATTCCTACACAATCCCCTTTCAGGCAAACTAACAGACTTCCTAGATAAAAGCTCAGAAGCATTCTCCCTGCTGCCAGCCAGGTTTGCATTTTCACTGACCATTTCCCTCTCCGCCGATTCGTTCCCTGGATTCAAATTCAAACCCTGGGCAGTTACAGGAGCAGGGCCTGGATCCTGTCCCAAAGAGACACAGGTTTCAGAGGAACAGCCGTGTTAGTCTGTATTCGCAAAAAGAAAAGGAGTACTTGTGGCACCTTAGAGACTAACCAATTTATTTGAGCATGAGCTTTCGTGTTTCCACTCCATACGGCTAAATGCAGTGCCTTGCATAATGACAGGTTTCAGAGGAACAGCCGTGTTAGTCTGTATTCGCAAAAAGAAAAGGAGTACTTGTGGCACCTTAGAGACTAACCAATTTATTTGAGCATGAGCTTTCGTGTTTCCACTCCATACGGCTAAGTGCAGTGCCTTGCATAATGACAGGTTTCAGAGGAACAGCCGTGTTAGTCTGTATTCGCAAAAAGAAAAGGAGTACTTGTGGCACCTTAGAGACTAACCAATTTATTTGAGCATGAGCTTTCATGAGCTCACGAAAGCTCATGCTCAAATAAATTGGTTAGTCTCTAAGGTGCCACAAGTACTCCTTTTCTTTTTCCAAAGAGACACAGTCACGCCACAACAGGGTCTCGCAGCTGGTACCCTGGGGCACCACAACGACCAGCCAGCCCGACCCCTCCTGGGTCTGCACAGGGATCTGGGCCATAGGCAGGGTGAGGGGATTCATCTCTGGGAACCTCACCCAGCTCACGCATCTGAGGCTGCACCACCCGGGGCCTGACACCAGTTCTCTCTGTCCCAGGATCTCGCCACCCCAGGAATGTCTCCCCATTGACCATCACCTTCCGCTCCCACTGAGGGTCCGAGGGACCTGGCCTCAGGAAACTCCACACAGACATATAGGTTGGGGTCAGGAGTGGGAGCCTGTCCACCTCCCCACCCATCTGGCTGACGGAGTCGATGGCCTTGGGACCCAGCAAGGGAGCTAGACACCGGGGCTTTTCCGCAGGGACCCCCTGGTTCAAATCTCCAGCCTGCTCAAAGGCAGTGAGGTGGCATCCACATCCCCCCCTCCTTAACCAGGGGCAGCAATTTAGTCTCGAGGTTCCCTGCGGAACTGGCCCCCCGGAGTCTATCCCCACTCACCCCTGGGGGGTCCCCTAGGCCTCTCCGCTCCCCCACCGCCAGTTCATGCTGCTGCTGCTTCTGCAGCTCTTTCTCGGGCTCTCGCTGTCTCTCACAGTCCTCTTGCTCTCTCGGACTCGGCTCCAATCCCGTCCGTCTCCGATCCCCGATGGGGAACCCGATTGTGAAGACCCCCGTCTGGTTGGGGACAGGAGTCTTGGGGATGCCTGGCTCCCACTCCAGCTGCTCCCAGATCCTGCTATAGCCCCATTTGGGGTCAGGAATCTGTTCCTTAGAGCGGTCATCCTCCTCCAGCTGCACGATTAACTGTGCTTTGGTGAACTTTCCAATGCTCAACCCTCTTTTTCTGCACAGGGTTACAATGTCCTTCTTAAGGAGACGGTGACAGGCCATCACTCCGCTTTTCCCAAGTTGTTGTGGACTCACAGGCCTGTGTGCTCTCAGCTCCCCACGGTCTCCAGGGAGAACCCCTAGTGTGTCAGCCCTTCTCGAGGTCACCACCTCTTTGCCAGGCTCGAGCTGCAGACTCCTCCTCCCCTGGGACTGTTCCCTGCAATCCCACGGGGAACCCTGTTACTGCACAGTCTTTCTCTCTGGTCACACACTCCTAGGGGTTAACTGCCTCATGAAACCGTCTCTCTCTGAATGTTAAGCACGCCTGGTCCCCGTCAATTCCCCTTCGTTTTACTGCTCCCCAGTCACTTACTGCAGGAAGCACCGTCCACAGGGTGCAATACATCCCACCACTGCCACCAATTGTCACGGAGTCCCCGGCGATGCTCTGGAACTGCTCCCCATGAAGCCAGTCAGGACTCTGGGGCAGTCGCCTTCCTGTGAGCAGCCTGTCTGCAGGACACACAGCTCACCCGGCTCCACCTTCCTGGGTCTGACCTCAGAGCATTCAGCATCCTCTGCCCCTCCGTGCGCTTCCCACAGCGAGTCCGCTCAGGCGGGGCTCCTGGGGAAGCCAGAGGGTCCTGCACCCCAACTCCGCAGTCAGACGTGACTCTCAGCCAGCCAGTAAAATAGAGGTTTATTAGACGACAGGAACATGGTCTAACACAGAGCTTGTAGGTGCAGAGAACAGGACCCCTCAGCCGGGTCCATTTTGGGGGGCAGTGAGCCAGACAACCACGTCTGCCCTTCACTCCATGTCCCAGCCAGCCCCAAACTGAAACTCCCTCCAGCCCCTCCTCCTCTGGGCTTTGTCCCTTTCCAGGGCCAGGAGGTCACCTGATTCCTTTGTTCTCCAGCCCTTTAGCTCTCACCTGGCAGGGGGGAAGGGCCCAGGCCATCAGTTGCCAGGAAACAGGGTGTTGGCCAGTCTCTGTGTCCAGACCCCTGCACACACCTGCCCTCTAGGGCTCTGCAACGATAACACACCCTTATCCCACCCCGTAGATACTTAAGAACTGCCTAGGGGAAACTGAGGCGCCCCCACCATCTGGCCCATCCATTAGGAACAGTCCCACTTCCTCACACTGTGGGAAGCGCAGGGAGGGGCAGAGGATGCTGAATGCTCCGAGGTCAGACCCAGGAAGGTGGAGCCGGGGGAGCTGTGTGTCCTGCAGACAGGCTGCTCCCAGAGAGGAGACTTCCCCAGAGTCCTGCCTGGCTTCGTAGGGAGCAGTTCCAGAGCATCGCCCAGGGACTCCGTGACACCCCCCAGCTGCGGCCCCAAGACCGGAGAAGCTCTGTCCCCACACCCCGGCCAGGGGCCCAGTGGGGAGTGAGGGCAGCAGCTCCGCCGCTCTTCCGGGCTCGGCGGCAATTCGGCAGCGACTGCTTGGGGTGGCAAAATTGGTAGAGCCGCCCCTGGCTCCAGGGGGCCCCACTTGGCCAGGGCCCCTGGGCACACAGGCCCCATAGGCCCAATGGCTGATCCATCACTGGTTGCAGAGAGCGGGGGGGCGATCCCTGTGTCGGTGTTTCAGCCCCTTCCCCCACCCCGACAGACGCTGGTTCTGTTCCTGCAGGGGAAACCGACACGTTCACGGTCAGTGCAACTGTCAGTGCAACAGAACCCCCCAGATCCACCCCCAAGAGCTCCCTCCCCTGCACTCACAGCCCCCCGTTCCCAAGGCCTGCGGAAAGGTTGGGTCTTGTGTGACTCCCGCCGGTCACAGACTCTATTTCCAACCCCGAGGCGGGGGGCAGAGCTGCAGGGGGCCACTGGTCAGACTCCCTGGCTGGCCTTAGGTGGGGCCGGGGGGACAGGTGATCTCTCATGCAGCTGGGTCCTGAGCTATGTATGGGTGAATCCCCTGTCCCCACGCCCCATGGGCAGGCAGTGCCATCCCTAGTAGGGGACAGACTCCCAGAGAGGCTGGACGAGGGATGGACTGAATTGGGGTGGAGGGGAAGTGGGGGGCTGTGTCTCCCCTGTTTAACTCCTGTCTCTTGTCAATAGCAGGGTGAGAATTTCTCAAACCCACCATTTGGGTGAGCCCCAGCAGGGTGGTGGCTCTCGGGGGAAGCGTCACCATCCGCTGTGAGGGTTGGCTCCCAGCCCTCCCAGCAAAGAACCCAGGGAATGAATGGACCCTAGAGACTGGACTCTGTGTGATGGGAGTTCGTCGCAGTTTTCAAAAGTGTCCTTCCTTGTGGGGTGGCCCCAGTCTTGGGGAATCTCAGGGTTTACAGGGTCCCAAGAACGAGGGAGCGGAGGCACGGTGTCTGTGGGGCTGGGAGCCCAGCTGCAGGAGGGGATGTGGTTTGCTGGGCGTGGCAGGGAGCTGGCTTTGCTCTGACCGTGGTAGATTTGGTCTGGAGATTGCAGAGAAACCAGCTGATGGGGAAGAAAGGGGCCGAGCGCATAACGGGCTTCCTGGGGCTGCAGCCCCCGGCGCAGTTCCTCATTCCGCTCGCACTCGGGCCTCAGGCTGGGTGGAGCTGGACACTGGGGTGTTGGTGGCAGCACTGGGGGGCCCCCCACTGCCCCATCATGGCGTCTGCTCTCACCATCATCCTCCTCAGTAAGTATCGAAGACAGCCAGGGCGTGTGGCCATGCGGGGCGGGGGGGATCTGAGACCAGGGCGTGTGGCCATGGTGGGGATCTGAGACCAGGGTGTAGGATCCAGTTGCTCTGGGATGTGACCCCTTAACACCACTTTTCTCTCCAGGCTGCTGGCTGGCGGGGCACAGTGGGGCGTGGGGAGGTGAGTATCAGTCTGTGGCGAGGGTGGTAACATCAAGGATGGGGGAGGGGATGCGTGGGGTGGGGAAAAGAGGAATCGAGCCCTGAACCTTCCCCGAAACACAACCCAAACTCACCCTGTGAAGACCCGTCACAGTTCTCCTGTGCCCCGACCCCATGGAGTAACTAGGAGCCGAATCTGGCTCCCAGGCTCTGACAAAGAAGCCAGGATTTGAACCGTTCACTGGTTCAAAGTTCTGCAATGCCCAGGCTGTGAGGATCGGCGGCGGGGACACCTGGATTTATTTCAGCTCATATAAACGCTAACAGGGCCCGTCCGTGGGCTCTAGATCCCCTCGGGGAACCGAAAGGTTCCCGGTCAGAGCAGCCGTGGGGGAGAACCCCCCAGATCCACCCCTGCCCCGAGATCCACCCCCAACCGCTTCCTACCCTGCACTCACAGCCCCCTGTTCCCAAGGCCTGCGGGAAGGTGGGTCTTGTGTGACTCCCGCCGGTCACAGACTCTATTTCCAACCCCGAGGCGGGGGGCAGAGCTGCAGGGGGCCACTGGTCAGACTCCCTGGCTGGCCTTAGGTGGGGCCGGGGGGACAGGTGATCTCTCATGCAGCTGGGTCCTGAGCTATGTATGGGTGAATCCCCTGTCCCCACGCCCCATGGGCAGGCAGTGCCATCCCTGGTAGGGGACAGACTCCCAGAGAGGCTGAATGACAGATGAACTGAACTGGGGCGGGAGGGAGGCAGGGGTGGGGTGTCTCCCTTGTTTAACTCCTGTCTCTTGTTGAAAGCAGGGCGAGAATTTCTCACGCCCACCATCTGGCCCAGCAGGGTGGTGGCGCTCGGGGGAAGCATCACCATCCGCTATGAGGGTCGGTACCCGGGCATGAAGTTCTTTCTGCGTAAAGCCCTGGGCCTAGCAGAGAGGACGCCCGGCCGGGGAGCTGCAGAGCAGGGGGGGCCTTTCCCAGCTGACATATCAGTTAGGGGGTGATGGGCGGAGCTGAAGGTTATAAACCTCAGTGTGTAGTAGAGACTTGTACAGTCCCCTACAAGTCAGGGGTGGTGCAGTGCACAGAACCCAGGAGTCCTGGACCCCATCCCTCCTGCTGTCACCCCACTCCCTTCCCAGATCTGGGGAGAGAACCTGGCTCCCAGCCCTCCCAGTAGAGAAGCCAGAGAGTGAACGGACCCTGGAGACGAGCTGTGATGAAGTGGGACTGTTCTTAATGTTTCCTCTGAATAGTGTGGGGGTGCCTCAGTTTCCCCATGCAGTTCTTCAGTATCTAGGTGATGAGGTAAGGGTGTGTGATCATTGCAGAGCCCTAGAGGGCAGGTTTGTGCAGGGGTCTGGACACAGAGAAGGGCCAACACCCTGTTTCCTGGCAATTTATGGCCTGGACCCTTCCCCCCTGCAAGGTGAGAGCTAAAGGGTTGGAGAACAAAGGAATCAGGTGCCCTCCTGGCCTGGGAAAGGGACAAAGCCCAGAGGAGGAGGAGGGGCAGGAGGGAGTTTCATTTTGAGGCTGGCTGGGACATGGAGTGAAGGGCAGACGTGGTTGTCTGGCTCACTGCCCCCCAAAATGGACCCAGCTGAGGGGTCCTGTTCTCTGCACCTGCAAGCTCTGTTTTAGACCATGTTCCTGTCATCTAATAAACCTCTGTTTTACTGGCTGGCTGAGAGTCACGTCTGACTGCGAAGTTGGGGTGCAGGACCCTCTGGCTTCCCCGGAGCCCCGCCTGAGCGGACTCGCTGGGGGAAGCGCACGGAGGGGCAGAGGATGCTGAATGCTCCGAGGTCAGACCCAGGAAGCTGAAAGCTGTGTGAGCTGTGTGTCCTGCAGACGGGCTGCTCACAGAAAGGCAACTGCCCCAGAGTCCTGACTGGCTTCATGGGGAGCAGTTCCAGATCTTCACCCAGGGACTCCGTGACAACTGGTGTTAGCGGTGGGATCTACTGCACCCCATGGATGGCACTTCCTGCAGTAAGTGACTGGGGAGTAGTAAAACGAAGGGGGATTGACGAGGACCAGGTGTGCTGAAGATTCAGAGAGAGACGGTTTCGGGGGGCGGTTAACCCGTGGGAGTGTGTGACCAGTGGGAAGGACTTTTGCAGTAACAGGTTTCCCCTGGGGATTGCAGCGACCGGTCCCGGGGCGGAGGAGTCTGCAGCTCGACCCTGGCAAAGAGGTGGTGACCTCGAGAAGGGCTGGCACACTAGGGGTTCTCCCTGGAGACCGTGGGGAACTGAGAGCACACAGGCCTGTGAGTCCACAACAACTTGGGAGGAGCGGAGTGATGGCCTGTCACCGTCTCCTGAAGAAGGACATTGTAACCCTGTGCAGAAAGAGAGGGTTGAGCACTGGAAAGTTCACCAAAGCACAGTTAATCGTGCAGCTGGAGGAGGATGACCGCTCTAAGGAACAGACTCTTGACCCCAGATGGGACTATAGCAGGATCTGGGAGCAGCTGGAGTGGGAGCCAGGCATCCCAAAGACTCCTGTCCCCGACCAGACGAGGGTCTCCATGATCGGGTTCCCCATTGGGGGATCGGAGACGGACGGGATTGGAGCTGAGTCCGAGAGAGCAAGAGGACCGTGGGAGACAGCGAGAGCCCGAGAAAGAGCTGCAGAAGCAGCAGCAGCATGAGCTGGCGGTGGGGGAGCGGAGAGGCCTAGGGGACCTCTCTGGGGTGAGTGGGGATAGACCCCGGGGGGCCAGTTCCGCAGGGAACCTCGAGACTGAATTGCTGCCCCTGGTTAAGGAGGGGGGGATGTGGATGCCGCCTCACTGCCTTTGAGCAGGCTGGAGATTTGAACCAGGGGGACCCTGCGGAAAAGCCCCGGTGTCTAGCTCCCTTGCTGGGTCCCAAAGCCACAGACTCCGTCAGCCAGATGGGTGGGGATGTGGACAGGCTCCCACTCCTGACCCCAACCTATATGTCTGTGTGGAGTTTCCTGGGGCCTGGCCCCTTGGACCCCCAGTGGGAGCAGAAGGTGATGGTCAATGGGGAGACATTCCTGGGGTGGCGAGATCCGGGGACAGAGAGAACTGTTGTCAGGCCCCGGGTGGTGCAGCCTCAGATGCTGAGGGGCTGCGTGAGCTGGGATTAGGGTCCCAGGGACGAAGCCCCTCGCCCTGCCTATGGCCCAGATCCCTGTGCAGACCCAGGAGGGGTGGGGCTGGCTGGTCGTTGTGGTGCCCCAGGATACCAGCTGCGAGACCCTGTTGTGGGGTGACTGTGTCTCTTTGGGACAGGATCCAGGCCCTGCTCCTGTAACTGCCGAGGGTTTGAATTTGAATCCAGGGAACCAATTGGTGGAGAGGGAAATGGTCAGTGAAAATGCAGATGACCTGGCTGGCAGGGGGGAGGAGCAGCTAGGCTTAGGCTACCTGCCTGCCTGTAACCAGTTGTCACGGAGTGTGGGGGAGTCCAGGCCCTGCACCCCTCTTCCTGGGATTCACTGAGACTCTCAGCCAGGCTGTAAAGTGGAAGGTTTATTGGACAACAGGAACACAGTCCACAACAGAGCTTGTGGGTACACCCAGGACCCCTCAGTCAAGTCCTTCTGGGGGAGCAGCCGTGGAGTTCCCTGCATTCCTCCACCAAGCCCCAAACTGAAAACTAACCGCCCCCAGCAGGCTCTCTCCTGCAGCCTCTGTTCACATTCCTGGGCAGAGGTGTTACCTCCCCATCCGGCTCCTGGCTCAGGTGACAGGCTCTCAGGTCTCCCATCCCCAGGGCACATTCCCAGGTCAACACTCCCCCCTTCCTGCTGCGTCACATCGTCACATCTCTCCCCTCTTCCAGACTGAACTGAGCGGGGTCACTCTGACCAGTGACCTGGGGAAGTTTGGGGCCCCCTCTCCGGGACAGCGCATCCGCTATCAGGTTGGCAGTTCCCTTCACATGGACCACGTCCAGGTCGTAATCCTGCAGGAGCAGGCTCCACCTCAGGAGTTTGGCGTTGGCTCCTTTCATCTGGTGCAGCCAGGTCAGGGGAGAGTGGTCGGTGTAGAAGGTGAAGTGTCGCCCGAAGAGATAGGGCTCTAGTTTCTTGAGGGCCCACACCATGGCCAGGCACTCCTTCTCGATGGCCGCGTAGTGTTGCTCCCGGGGTAGCAACTTCTTGCTCAGGTACACGATGGGGTGTCTCTCCCCCTTTTCATCCTCCTGCATTAACACCGCCCCCAGTCCCGTGTCTGAGGCGTTGGTGAACACCACAAAGGGCTTGTCAAAGTCTGGGTTTGCCAGAACTCGGCCACTGACCAGAGCCTCCTTCAGCACCCGGAAAGCCTCCTGGCACTGCTCGGTCCAGACCACCTTGTCTGGCTTCCCCTTCTTGCATAGCTCAGTGATGGGGGTGGCTATGGCGCTAAAGTGGGGCACAAATCTTCGGTAGTATCCTGCCAACCCAATAAAGGCTTGGACCTGCTTTTTGGTGCGGGGAGCGGGCCAGTCTCTGATCACCTCCACCTTGGCTGGTTCCGGCTTTAGGCGGCCGCTCCCCACCCAATGGCCCAGGTAAGATACTTCCGCCATCCCCACCTTGCATTTCTCCCTTTTTACAGTCAGCCCAGCCCCCTGGAGTCGGTCCAGCACTTGTCTAACCTGGGACACGTGGTCCTCCCAGGTCTGGCTAAAAACACAGACGTCATCAATATACGCCACGGCAAAACTCTCCATCCCCCTCAGGAGCTGGTCCACCAGGCGCTAGAAGGTGGCCGGCGCTCCCTTGAGGCCGAAAGGCAGGGTCAGCAACTCATAGAGCCCCAGAGGGGTGATAAAGGCCGATTTCAGCCGGGCATCTGCATCCAGCGGCACTTGCCAGTAGCCCTTTGTAAGGTCCATGGTGGTGAGGTACCGAGCTCCTCCCAGTTTGTCTAGGAGCTCGTCCGGCCTGGGCATGGGGTAGGCATCAGATACAGTGATGGCATTGAGCTTCCGATAGTCCACACAGAACCGAATCGACCCATCCTTTTTGGGGACCAGCACCACGGGCGAGGCCCAACGGCTGGCAGATGGCTGGATCACCCCCAAAGCCAGCATGTCCCGGACCTCTCTTTCCAGGTCCTGAGCAGTTTTCCCTGTGACTCGGAAGGGGGAGCATCTTATCGGCGGGTGCGACCCTGTCTGCACCCGGTGGACAGTCAGATTAGTGCGTCCAGGCTGGTTGGAAAACAGCTGTCGGTACGGATGCAGCACCCCCCCTGACCTCAGCTTGAGGGGCAGGGGTTAGCTGTTGCGAGAGGGGAATTGTTTCCAGGGGGGAACCAGCTCTGGTCCCAGGGAATAGATCTACTAAAGGGTCATCTCCCTGCTCCTCCCACTGTCCACACACGGCAAACACCACATTCCCCCTGGCATAGTATGGCTTCATCATATTCACATGGTACACCCGGAGGTGGTGCGCCCAGTTCGACAGCTCCACCACATAGTTTACCTCATTGAGCTGCTTGACAACCTTGAAAGGGCCCCAGTGGCGTAGGCACGGGCCCGCGCCGTGCGGTCATACCAGACCTTCTGCTTCTTCTGGGCTCTGGCCACATTCTCCCTGGCCAGGCCCATGAGTTCAGCCAATCTCTCTCGGAAGATCAGGACATACTCCACCACTGACTCTCCATCGGGAGTGGCCTTCCCCTCCCACTCGTCTCTCATCAGGTCCAGGGGGCCCCTCACCCTCCTGCCATATAACAGTTTGAAAGGCGAAAATCCGGTAGACTCCTGGGGCACCTCCCTGTACTTGAACAGCAGGTGAGGTAAGTACTTGTCCCAATCCTGCGGGTGCTGGTTCATAAAGGTTTTCAGCATCATCTTTAGCGTCCCGTTGAACCTCTCCACCAGCCCATTGGACTGGGGGTGATAAGCTGAGGCCCAGTCGTGCCGGACCCCACATTTCTCCCACAAGCACCGGAGCAGGGCCGACATGAAGTTGGAGCCTTGGTCTGTCAAGACTTCCTTGGGGAACCCCACTCGGCTGAAAATGGTCAGGAGCGCATCGGCCACGGTGTCTGCTTCAGTGGAAGCTAAGGGCACTGCCTCGGGGTAGCGGGTGGCGAAATCTACCACGACCAGAATGTATTTCTTCCCCGACCGGGTCGTCTTGCTGAGAGGCCCCACGATGTCCATGGCCACCTTCTGGAAAGGCTCCTCTATGATGGGCAAAGGTCTCAAAGTCGCTTTCGTCTTGTCCAGGGCCTTCCTCACCCTCTGACGGGGTCACAGGATTGGCAATACTGCCGGACCGTGGTAAAGACCCCGGGCCAGTAAAAGTTCTGTAGCAACCTCTGCCGGGTACGCCGGATTCTCTGGTGCCCTGCGAGGGGGATGTCATGGGCCAGGTACAGGAGCTTGCGGCGATACTTCTGGGGGACCACCAGCTGCCTCCTGATCCCACAGGACTCTACTTCCCTTGTGGGAGCCCATTCTCAGTACAGGAACCCCTTCTCCCACAGGAACCTCTCCTGGCAGCCTCTCCTCATGGTCCGTCCCACACCGAGGTCGGTCAGGTCCCTGAGCTTCCGCAAGGAGGGATCTTTCCTCAACTCGGCCTGGAACTCAGCGGCTGGGGAAGGGATGGGGACCGGTTCCCCCTCAGTGGCCGGGTCTGAGGCCTCAGCCTCTCTGAGCTGTGCCCCTCGGCGCTCCCTCCCCACCAGGGTAGTGTCCTGCGCCTCCGGTGTGGTACCCTCCCCAAGGTCGGGGTGCAGTGCCCCTCGCCGGCTCTGGCTACGGGTCACAACCAGGGCGGTCTGGGGCTTGCTTGGCCAGTCCTCTAGGTCTCCCCCCATCAAAACCTCAGTGGGCAAATGGTGGTGTACCCCCACATCCTTGGGGCCCTCCTTGACCCCCCATTTCAGGTGTACCCTTGCCACGGGCACTTTAAATGGGGTCCTGCCCACCCCCGTCAGGGTCAGGTAGGTGTTGGACACCACCCAATCTGGGGCCACCACCTCGGGCCGGGCCAGCGTCACCTCCACGCCCGTATCCCAGTATCCATTGACCTTCCTCCCATCCACCTCCAGGGGAACAAGGCACTCGCTCCGGAGGGACAGCCCCACGCCCACCCTGTAAACCGAGCACCCTGAGTCCAGAGCATCCAGCCCTCTGGCGGAGCTGGCCTGGGGTACTCTTCCCTCCGGAGCAGGTGGTAAACTGGCAGCCCCCCTTGCCTGGGTCGTCTGCCCCTCGTCCAGCTGGGTCCCTACCCAGTTAACCCTGGGTAGGTTGGGTCTGCTCAGTTTGTCCCTGAGCCTGGGGCACTGGGTCCATACGTGGCCTCTCTGGCCACAGTGATAGCAGCTCAGGTCACGTTGGTCCCCTCGAGCGGGTCGGAGGGGCCCGACGCCAGGCATTCCCCTTTGGAGGGGGCTCTCCATATTTCCTCGCTGGGAGATCCCAGGGTGACTCTCTGTCTGCATTGGGGGGGGGGGGGGGCTGTTCCTTTGGGACTCCTCCCGCCTACCCCCTGACCGACTGTTCACAAACTCGTCGGCCAGCTGCCCTGCGTGCTGGGGGTTCTCGAGCTTTTTGTCCACCCACCACAGCCTCAGGTCGGAAGGGCACTGTTCATACAGTTGCTCCAGTACGATTAGGTCAAGCAGGTCCTCTTTAGCTTGGGCCCCAGCTGTCCACTTGCGGGCATATCCCTGCATGCAGTTGACCAGTTGTAGGTAGGTGACCTCAGGCATTTTACGTTGATTCCGGAACCTTCTCCGGTACATCTCGGGGGTCAGCCCAAACTCACGGAGCAGGGCCTGTTTGAACAGTTCATAGTCCCCTGCCTCCGGCCCTGTCATCCGGCTGTACACCTCCACGGCTTTGGGGTCCAGTAAGGGGGTGAGGAACTGGAGCCTGTCGGCAGGGTCAACCCTGTGCAGCTCGCAGGCATTCTCAAAGGCCGTCAGGAAGCTATCTATGTCCTCCCCCTCCTTCCGCTGGGCCAGGAAGCACTTATCAAAGCTCCTTGCAGTCTTGGGTCCCCCCGTACTCACCGCAGCTGGGGCCCCACTGCTCCTCAGCCTGGCCAGCTCCAGTTCATGCTGTCTTCGGTTCTCCTTCTCCTCCTGCTCATGCCTACGTTGCCTCCCCTTCTCCTGACACTCCCGCTCCTTCTCCTGGTGCTCCCACTCCTTCTCCTGATGTTCCCGCTCCTTCTCCTGAAGTTCCCACTCCTTCTCCTCCTGCTCATGTTGACATTGTTTTTCATGATCCTCCACCTCCCTCATTTTTATCTCCCTCTCCCATTCCAGCCGTATCCGCTCCAGGGATGGGGAGCTCCGCCGGGAGGATCCCCTGCTGGCTGCCGGGGTCAGGGTGCCCTCAGTATTCGCCGGGCTTCCCCAACCCCTCCCCCAGGCATAGGTAGGAAGAGTCTCGGGATGTCCTCGGCAGCAGTCTGACCCCTCCCAGCCCAGTCAGGCCCCAGGGCCCATGCTGCATCCGCCGGGCAGCTTCCCTCCGGGACAGGGATCGGGTCATCCAAGCGATCCCTCTCCTCCAACTGGGCAATCAGCTGTTCCTTGGTGGACCTCCCAATGCGCAGCCCCCTCTGCCTGCACAGCTCCACCAGGTCGCTCTTAAGGCGTTTAGCGTACATCTCCCTGCTGGCCACTCGCAGGCCGGGCAGCTTTCTACGGTTTCCAGGAAAAACCCCTCGTGTGCCAGTCCTTCTTGAGGTCACCACCTCTTTGCCAGGGTCGAGCTGCAGACTCCTTCGCCCCTGGGACCGCTCACTGCAATCCCCCGGGGGACCCTGTTACTGCAAAAGTCCTTCTCTGGTCACACACTCCCAGGGGTTAACTATCCCCTGAAACTGTCTCTCTCTGAATGTGCAGCACGCCTGGTCCCCATCAATCCCCCTTCGTTTTACTGTTCCCCAGTCACTTACTGCAGGAAGCGCCGTTCACGGGGTGCAGTACATCCCACCGCTGCCACCAGTTGTCATGGAGTGTGGGGGAGTCCAGGCCCTGCACCCCTCTTCCTGGGATTCACTGAGACTCTCAGGCAGGCAGAAAAACAGAAGGTTTATTAGACAACAGGAACACAGTCCAAAACAGGGCTTGTGGGTACACCCAGGACCCCTCAGTCAAGTCCTTCTGGGGGAGCAGGGAGCTTAGACCCCAGCCCTGGGGTTCCCTGCGTTCCTCCACCCAGCACCAAACTGAAAACTAAACCCCCCCAGCAGGCTCTCTCCTGCAGCCTCTGTCCACATTCCTGGGCAGAGGTCTTATCTCCCCTCACCCTCCCGGCTCAGGTGACAGGCTCTCAGGTCTCCCATCCCCAGGGCACATTCCCAGGTCAACACTCCCTCCTCCCTGCTGTGTAACATCATCACACCAGACCTCTGGGGCTGGGTGGGACAGAGAGATGCTCCCCGCCCCCCTTGCTCCCTGGAGCACAGCGGTTGGGGGGGGGGGGGGGCTCACGCTGGCTCTGATGCAGTGAGGAAAGCAGCGAGCTCGCTGCCTATCCCCACTGGGACAGCAAGGGCAGCGCTGAGCACAGTGGGAGCTGAGACCCCCGCTGAGTGGGGGGAGACACAGGCAGGGCAGGGGATCTGTGGGGAGTGGCAAGGTGCTTGGTAAGGAAAGTTTTGATGAGCCTAGGCAGCCTTGTGAGCTGATGGCTGTGTCTAGTCAGCAGGGTGGGAAGGCGAGGAGAGTGGAAGATGAGTGTCCCTGGATCTTACCTGTTAGCTGGGTGGAGAATTGTGACAGGGAAGGAAATGTGCCTGTGACTTGCCTATGGAGGGAGCTACCCTGATCTCCAAGCAGTTGTCTGTGACCAGCCTTGTGTGCTGGGACAAGGGGAAAGAGATCCCAAGCTGTGTGTCTGGGAAAGGAGAAAGTGTGTCCGGCTCTTCTTTGTCTGTGGAGCAGACAGAAGGGGCCTTTCAGCCTGTGATGGTTGAGGGTCGTGCAGTTGTCTCAGAGTTGGTTCTGGATTCAGCTAAAGCCCAGGTAGGGAATGGTCCTAAGTTTGTGTCTGCTCGGGAGAATGGCCCTGTAACTAGGTCGCATTCAATTAGTGTCTATGCAAAATCCCAGAGGCCAGACAATTCTGGTGCTTGTATTTTGCCTGTTGCTAGTGTGTTGTTGGGAAAGGGTGTAGCAACTCTGTCTGATCAGGGTGAGATCCTAGCCGGGGCACAAGGAGAGCATGAAGGTGATGTGATTGTGTTACCTACTGAGGGTGCGGAAACCTGTAGCAAGAAGGAAAAGATTCCTGAACTTGTGTGTGGCAAATGGAAGGAGAAGGCTTCTGACCTCTTATCTAGGAAGTCTGTAAGTTTGCCTGAAAGGGGATTGTGTAGGAATCTGCCGGATGGGCCAGAGATAATTCTGGATGTAAGGAGACCCAGAAAGAGTCTGTTGTTGCTCAGGAAAGTGTCCCTCTAGAGCAAGCCCTAGGTGAAGAGGGTAAGAGCAGAATTTCTGTGAGGGGTGAATTGTTGCATAGAAAAGCCCCTCGGGAAAGGAATCCTCATGGAGTCTTTGCAAGCAGTTTACTGCAACTGAAGGGTGTGAAACTTATTTAATCCAGAAAGTTTCAGTTCCTAATGGCCATCAATTTTCTGTTGTGAATGGATCCACTGACTTTCCTGTTGAAGGATCCAGTGTGGAGAGCTTTGAGAAGGTCTCAGATGAAGTGAAAGCTGTTAAGAAAGTTAAAGAGTCCTCTAACCAAGTGGCTGTGTTTGGCCAGCTTGTTGGGGAGAAGACCCAATCCCAGTTTGACCCCGTGGGGTTTTGGGGTGGCCAAAGGGCAGAGGCCACATAAACCTTCCTACATGCGGCCTGCGAGTGCTATCGACCACCCCCGACCTAAGGGAGGGCGTGAAACTGGAAGGGCCTGGTGTAACTCCTACCAAGGAATGGGAGAGATGTTGGGGCATCCATGGGAACGTTGGTGGTTTTGAACTTCCCCAGGTCACCGGCTAAAGTGACCCCGCTCAGTTCGATCTCGAAGGGGGGAGAGATGTGACGAAGTGGGACTGTTCTTAATGGTTCCTCTGAATGGTGTGGGGGTGCCTCAGTTTCCCCTATGCAGTTCTTAAGTATCTAGGTGTTGGGCTAAGGGTGTGTGATCATTGCAGAGCCCTATAGGGCAACTGAGTGCAGGGGTCTGGACACAGAGAATGGCCGACACCTTGTTTCCTGGCAACTGATGGCCTGTCCCTTCCCCCCTGCAAGGTGAGAACTAAGGGGCTGGAGAACAAAGGAATCAGGTGCCCTCCTGGACTGGGAAAGGGATAAAGCCCAGAGGAGGAGGGGCTGGAGGGAGTTTCAGTTTGGGGTTGGCCGGGACATGGAGTGAAGGGCAGACGTGGTTTTCTGGCTCACTGCCCCCCAAAATGGACCCAGCTGAGAGGTCCCGTTCTCTGCACCTGCAAGCTCTGTTTTAGACCATGTTCCTGTTGTCTAATAAACCTCTGTTTTACTGGCTGGCTGAGAGTCACGTCTGACTGCGAAGCTGGGGTGCAGGACCCTCTGGCTTCCCCAGGATCCCTGCCTGAGCGGACTCGATGTGGGAAGCGCAGGGAGGGGCAGAGGATGCTGAATGCTCCGAGGTCAGACCCAGGAAGGTGGAGCCGGGTGAGCTGTGTGTCCTGCAGACAGGCTGCTCACAGAAAGGAGACTTCTCCAGAGTCCTGCCTGGCTTCATGGGGAGCAGTTCCAGAGCATCGCCCAGGGACTCCGTGACACTGGCCTGGCCTGTCTCCTGCTAGGGAGCAGAGCTTTGGGCCCCCAGGGGCTGGGGTTGCTCCGTGTCTCATGTTGTTAGCCCAGGGCTCAGAGGAAACTCTGGGCCCCTGTGGAAAGGCATCCAGGAGCCCGTCCCCAGGCCTGCCAGGTCTGACCCACCACTGAGGCCGCGTGGTGAGGACGGGCCCCAGGACTGGGTGACGGGGTCTGCGTCTCACGGCCTGTCTGCTTCCCCCTGCAGAGCCCAGCTACCCCAAACCCAGCATCTCCCTGAGCCCCAGCGGGGGGGTCTCCCTGGGGGGAGCCGTGTCCGTCTGGTGTCGGGGGCAGCACCAGGGCATGCGGTTCGTGCTGAATAAAGAGGGACGCCATTTCCCAGCTGTGGATCCGAAAGGGTTGGAGGCTATGTTTCCCATCAGCAACGTGAGCCGGGATGACAGGGGGAGATACAACTGCTCCTATCACAGCAGATCGGGGTCAGCCGCCACATCGTCCCCCAGCGACCCCGTCGAGCTGGTGGTGAGAGGTGAGGGGCCCGGCTCGGCATTCCCATTCCCAGCCCCAGCCAGACCCTCACAGCGGCTCGGTGCTAATGGGTCGCTCAGAGCCAGGCTCTGCCCTGAGCCCTGACGGGATGCCCGTCATAGAATCATAGAATATCAGGGTTGGAAGGGACCTCCGGAGGTCATCTAGTCCAACCCCCTGCTCAAAGCAGGACCAAATCCCCAATTTTTGCCCCAGATTCCAAAATGGCCCCCTCAAGGATTGAACTCATAACCTTGGGTTTAGCAGGCTAATGCTCAAACCACTGAGCTATCCCTCCCCCCATGGAGCAGCAGCCCCTGGAGACTCGGGGCAGGGAGGTGACTTTAACGCTTTCCCTTGTGCGTAGGAACCGTGATCCCCTCCGCTCTGTTCTCCAGGCCCCGCCCCAGACAGTGCCCCAGTCGGAGCTGAATGAGGCAGGGGCTGCAGGGGAAGTGGTGGCTTGGTGGACACAGTGCTGGGCTGGGACCCAGGAGATGTGGCCCAGCTCCTGGCATGGCCACAGACTCTGTGTGATGGGAGCATGTCATGATTTTCAAAAGTGTCCTTCAAAAGGGCCTCAATCTTGGGGGACCGCAGGCCAAGCGCCAGAAACCGAGATGCCCACAGTTAGTGGAGACCTCTGCAAATGCTGGCCTCAATAGCGCTGGATCCCTTGTGTTGGGGGAGCATGTAGGGTCCCTGCCATGTTCAGGGCCCCTTTGTGCCAGGCACTGCATAAACACAGAATGAAGAAACAGTCCCTGCCCCTGAGAGCTCACTAACAAAGTGAATCTGTCTGTGCCTCAGTTTCCCCTTGTGTAGAAAGGGGATAATGATGCCTCCCTGCCTCCTGGGGGGCTGGCAGGGTGACTCCCTTTCTGTGTGGGGCTCAGGCCCTGTTGTGCTGGGCCCTGGAGACAAGCCCGTGAGTAGCTGTGTGTCCAGGGCAGGCCAGATGCAGTGAACGAGGCAGGGGCCACAAACGGGCATAGGAGGATCCCAAGCAGTAGGGAGCCGTGGCTCGGTATCTGTGGGGCCGGGAGCCCAGCTCGCAGGGCCGGGATTCTGGGTGGGGGGACTCTGGGATCTGGGAGAGAATCTCTGCCCGGGGCCCTGGATCTGCCCGTGGCTGGGGCCTGCCAGGGAGGCTGGGGCTGGGTGGGTGCCCGGGTCTTGTTCTCACAGCCTGTCTCCTGTGCGCAGATCCCAGCCTGCCCAGACCCTCCATCTCTCTGAGCCCCACTGGGGTCACCGCCCCAGGGACAGACGTCACCATCCGGTGTCGGGGGCAGCCCCGGGACGTGAGGTTCTTCCTGCACAAGGCTGGAGACCTGAACCCGCCGCGACACATGGACCCTGCTGGGGACGGGGCCGAGTTCCACATCCCCACCGTGGGCCGGCAGCACGGAGGGAACTACAGCTGCAGCTACCGGCCCCGGTCAGAGCCCTTCGTCTCCTCGCAGCCCAGCCACCCCGTGCAGCTGGTGGTAGCAGGTGAGGGGCCCGGCTCCACGTCCCCGCTCCCAGCCCCACACCCGGCCAGATCCCTCCGGTCTTCGCACTGATGGGACGCTCAGAACCAGGGTCTGCCCTGAGCCCTGGGCCCAGCAGAGGGGACACCCAGCCATGCAGCCGGGACGGAGTCACTTGGGGGTTCCCCAGCCGGAGGAGGTTCAGGGCAGAGGGAGGGGGGATCCCTTCCCCCAGGGGGAGCTGCAGAGAAGGCGGCTTTTCCCAGGGGGATGTTCCCCCCTGTTGCTCTTGTTCTTGGGACCCATAGAGGAGGTTGGGTCCTGGTCCGGGGTGGGGGGCAATTACTGTGGAAACAGGACGTGGTGCCCAGGGGTGGGTGGGACTGAGACATCAGGGGGAGGGGCAACCCCGGACCCACAGCTCCTCCTATGCCTCCTGCTCTGCAGATCGCAGCCGAGAATTTGCTGGGGGATCCCAGGGGAGGGACAGGATCTGGGGGACTGGGCTGTGAAATTGGGCCCAGAGTCCTCTGGCAATAACCCCCCATTATTGGGCCACATGACATCCCCCTGGCAATAGGAGTGAGCATTACCGAGAATTTCCTTGGTTCTTGCTTCCCCTCCCCACACTGGGGTCTCAGGGGACCCCCTGACCCTCCCCCAATAGATGTTCTGCTGCCTCTGGCTGCGCCCTGGTCCCCAGGGCCCT